AACGAATGGCTTCATCGGCTCTCGATGCAATACGTTTTAACTTATTTAAATTTTTAGCCGTTTCTCCAAGGATACGACGATTACTCGCCTTCTAAAAACAAGGATAAGTTAGAACTAAAAATACGTAAAAAATACTTTACGGTTGTTCGGCAGTTCACGTATCGGCGAGTATCGAGCGACCATGCTTTTTAAAAACGGATAAGCAAACCGTTTAAACGTTTTCCCTAGAGCGTTAAACGGATGAGCAAACCGTTTAAACGTTTTCACGAATGCATGAAACGGATGCAATTTTTTTTAAACGGATAAGCAAACCGTTTAAACGTTTTCGTTAAAGCGTTAAACGGATGCAACTTTTTTAAACGGATAAGCAAACCGTTTAAACGCTTGCATGAACCTATTAAACGGATTTAAACGGATAGTAAACGGTTTCCACGTTTAAACGGAAAAGCGTTAGTGTCCGTTTTCCCAAAGAGGGTCACATATGATTTTAGCTGGTATATATCCTATTTATTTTCTAATTCATTAGTTATCTTATTTAATTATTTAGACACAACCCCACAAGTGAAGCATCACTTTAAATACTTATCGTGTATAAATAAAGATTAGTGATTGATTGATTGCCGTTTCAAGTGAGGCACGTCTAGTTTTGATTGGACTTGATTGTGTGGAAGTATCCTCGTCAGAGTACAGATTGACCTCTGTATGCCTCCTCTTTTGAGCACTGGTCAGCTTTGCACTGCTGCATTTGTGCCAAATGAAAAGATGATTTGTGCCACGATGCTTTATGAGGTCTGAGCATTTCCTTAATTCCCTTCCCTTCGTCTAAATACAAGGGCACTTGAATAGGCAATTGGCCAACATAGGTGAACTTTGGTAGATTATTGGCTATTGTTATATTCCTAGACTTTCACAGCCAGTTGTCTTTTTCGTGAATGAACACAACAGTACAAACACAAAGCCTCAAGCTAAAAAGCAACAATTTTTAAAGTCAATCCCAGAGGAGAAACAGCAGCTAGTCGAGGAAAAAGTTGCAGATAATATAAGGAAAGTACTAAATGTAAATCCTTCATTTAGTGGTTTTAAGAATTAAATTTGTGTTGTTATAAGTATCGAGTGGACTGATTGGTTCGCTCCGGTTATTCTTTTGTTGCTGTTGAAGTGAAAGTCCAGAAATATAACAAAACACTTAATGTCAGGTCCCTCGGGAAACCAGTTAGTTTTGTTTGCCCTCGAGTCTGATGTTTCCCTTGACTTCATCTCGGGTAAACATCAGGACTCTCGGGAAAACAGGGTTCGCAAATACACCAAATTTGACGTATTTTACGCCAAAATTGTTCAGATGACTCCACAGAGGTTACGGAGGGAGTCACTTCAAGTCCAGAAATTTTCGGTAAAAACACAGTTTTGTCCTTACCTTTTCACAACAAATACAATTGACGTTAATTGTAAACATTGTAAACCTTAATTAAATCATCAAAATTAAAGAATCATACTGCACGAAAAAACAGGAAGAGGGTTAATAAGGATCAAAGTTTACTTGATGACCGCCATCAGACCACCATCATGGATCTGAGCTTTCCAGGTCAGCGGACCGCCACAGCTTCTTCGAGTATCCCTCATGATAGTGTATATGTTGTGGTTCAATTTTATCTTTGGTTTAATTTTTATTTTCTTTTGTTTTTGGGTATGGTAATGTATGATAATGAGTTTAAAACAAAAGAAAATAAAAATTAAACCAAGGATAAAATTGAACCACAACATATACATGCCAGGACCATGTGCTGGAAAGTCTGAAAATGGCTTTTTTCGTTGTGATTCTTGAGTCCAAAAAAATATTCCAAAGTTTGTGAAGCAGAAGTCACAGTGACTCCACTCATCAAAAAAATGTGCAAACACTGGGAAAACAAAACTAACTGTTTCCCTCAGGATCTGACAGTAAGTGTATAATGTTTTATAGCCTGATCAACTATCTCTTCTAGTACAATTAACTGATGAAACAAGCTTGTCATTTTTATTTTCCCCTCGACATAAAATACACAAATCCCAGTTAACACGAAATGCTGTTCGATCCATTGTATAATCCATTTTTCACACAGAATGTAACTGATAAGTAAACACTCTGTTTGTGAATGGCACCATTTGGAGAAAATCCAACAGTCATGATACATGATACTTGGAGGAGCTGAATAGTTCAGAATTAAGAAATAGACTGTTTGGCATTTCACATACCACTTCTGTACAGTCTATTATGACTCTTGTTGTGGGAAATGTCTCCTAGTTGTAGCTTTCACTAAGTACCAACGAAAGAAAAAGAATTTGCCTACATCACTGGTTTTAGTTCCAATGTTTATAAAACCATTTCAGCTGCTGATGCGAGAATTTCCACTACAAGCACCCCTTGTTCCTACATTTCTGCCATGCTCTTGGCCTTAAAATCACTCCTATTCTTCTGCTTAGACATTTTTGAACCTTAATCTTGTCAAGTTTCAAGCAGCAAAAGGGAAATAACATTTATAGGTTAGTGCGAACTTGAAATAGCAGAGGACAATGTCTGAACTTTGAAGGTTTGTTTACAACAAAGGTCACCAAAAGTCACGTGAAACTAAAAGTGAAATCTAACACTACTAAAATCTCCAGGGAATCTACACCTTACATTACACTTACATTACACTTTTTACAGCAAGATCGAGAATTTTTCTGCCTGCTGCAACACTTCGCGTGGCATTAAGCTGGCTGCCTCGCAAGCCAACTGTCTTTGCTCGGCTTCCTCGCAATCAAGAGGCATGATTTGTGTTGTACAACAGCTCTAAATGTAGATGGCCAAATGCAGATTTGCCTAAACTTCAAGGACATAAATAGGGCTCAAAGTTTAAATTTCAGTTTGGGAGCACTTGTGCTACCAGATGTAAATTTTTATGCGCACTGCCGAAATTTTAGGCGCACAGCTGAAAATTTTAGGAGCACAGCTTATAGTGTTGGGAGCATTTATTTCAAAAGAAAAAGTAAAAAACTTAACAGTGCCACGTCTATTTGTCATCTTCAGTTGTTACTTTTACTTCAGTCCTGTGATTGATAAAACACAGCCGATTTGCTACGCAGTAATACCATTGTGATTTTTAATACTAATTTCTCTTTTTGACAGTACAGTTGTGACTAAAGAAAACTTACACTTGAAAAACAATTCAAAACTGACAAAATTAAGTGTGTCGAACGAGAATGAAAATTAAACTTTAATGAATTTGTTAAATGCGCAATGACTTACATGTAACTGGAATACGACTTAAAAAACTTTCTCACCCGGAAAAAAAGGTTCTTAATCCGCACTGTTTTTGTTTTGATTGATGTTAAAACTGAACATTCAACATGATTGTCCATTGCACAAAAAGTATGTGTTTCGTTCGTAGCATATACAGTCGACTCCTGATAACTCGAACCTTCAAGGGAAATCGAAAAAAGTTCAAGTTATGGGGAGTTCGAGTTATCGGGAGCTCGAAGAAAATAGCCGAGAGTAAGGTAAAAAACAGTCTTTACTGCACAGTGAACATAGACATGTCAAGTGAAAATTAAAAGATACTTCTAGATTATAAATCAGAACGTAACGTAACAAACCACAGCCTAAATAGAGCATACATTTTACTGTTTTGAGAAGTAAAGCTTCTTCACGTTAGCCTGTGACACTCAATATCAGCCTCCACTAGCAAACTATGCTCCTACAACACGTCAATAGGAAGTCCAAAATTCAATGTTTCGGACGCCTGTAGACAGCTTTTTTCCTCGACTTTTTAAGGACTAAAAACATGGTTCGAGTTATCGAGGGTAAAATTATTTAGAAAATGACCTGAGGGGAAACGAAAATTGTTCCGAATTAGCGGCAGTTCAAGTTATTAAGGGTTTGAGTTACCGAAGGTAAAATTACAGGGAATGTATGGCGGAAATCCAGGGGAAATCAATTTTGGTACGAGTTAGCGCGAGGTTCGAGTTAGCAAGGGTTCGAGTTACCGGGAGTCGACTGTATTTGCATGTGTCAGCGGTGTTTATTACAAAACAGAAGAGTCTGGGATGGAGTAAAACATCAAAACGAAAAAGAACATTCGAGTTCGTAGAATCCATTGGGAGAAAAGACCAATTAAACATACACCGTCTTTCTAGTCCGAGTTCGTAAGTATAGTCGGAAGTAAGTCAGTTGCACTGTGCTTTGGGTTTTCCGGCGCACAGGTGCGATTACACATGAATTTTTAGGCGCACAACCAAAAATCCAGTCACATGTGCGACCAGTTAGTCACTAACTTTGAGCCCTGATAAAATTAATGCACTGGATAAAACTTCTGCTCACTGTTGCTTGTACCACACCATATAAGTTGGCTAAATGTCGCTCAGAAAATCCTCTCCTTAAGTGACACAGAACAATAAAAAATTCCTCCAAAGGCCTAAGTTTTCAGCGGCATCCCATCTTGGTTGTCAGCACATTTTTCCTTGTTGTCAAACTCAGAGTTGCAAAATTCCTCTGCGACATCTGAGCTGATCCTAGAGTGAATGTTTTCACAATTCTTAACAGGATTCAAAAAATTCAAAAATACTTATCAGAGTGGCATAATTGGGAACACCAGTTAAAAAATTAACATCCACATTGGATCTGAAGTGATCAAGAGAAAATAAATGGGAAGACATTGTGTCCTGGTGCTGTTCGTTTTAGGTAATCTTTCTTTTCAGTTCATTGTCTTCCTCGTTTGAAGGCAAAAGTCAAAAATTGTCATGAAATTTGATTTGTATGGCACATTGATGATTAATCGGGGCAATTGTACTCTTACTGTGTTCGATTTATCTGCATTGATGCTACTGCAGTAAGCAAAAATTGTCTATTATACTAACGCTTCAAAAGTGGGTTGAGTTTGATCGTCTGGGTGAACGAAGTCCTGTATAGGACTGTTGTTGTTGACAGTGACTGACCTTTCGACAACCTATGCAGTAGTCATCTACCGCACAGGTTATCAAAACGTCAGTCACTGTCAACAACAACAGTCCTATTCAGGACTATGTTTACCTGGACGATCAAACTCAACCTACTTCTGAAATGACCCCTGGGTTCAAACCTTTCACAGTTATACTAAAGCTTATAGCGAATATTTTGCCATGTTAACATTTTCATTCAAAACATTGTTCGATTTTTTTTATGTATTTCATCTCTATGCATTATTAATTTTATCACTGGATTACCATTAAGGGATACGGTAAGCATGACCTTGGCAAAATAAACATGTTGTACTCCCTAGAAAAGAAAATGGTCATATAACATGGCAAAGGGGGAATTCCTATCACGCATCACGCCGACTTTTATCATGGAAAAACAAAATAAATATTAACTACATTACCAAGTATCCTATTATTATTTGATCGGAGGAAATCAGAGGTCGACGAATGAGAAAAAACGGCAAGAAGGTGGTGTCATAACTATCTATTTTTAACACAGGCGGCCCCAGCTCACTACAGCAAGGCGGACGTGACTCTTGCTTGCGAGCAGTATTGTGTTACAAACGGTTATTTACAAAGGCTTGTATGGGATGTAAACGGTTTTTCGTAAAAGAGAGAAAAGATGATATGTTTTTAAATAAAACAGACTTACCTTTTTGCCTTATTGTATTCTTTGTTGTTTACCCGCGTCTCAGGCCGTTGCCTGGTCCCTTTACGCGTCGTCGCAAGCATGCAGCAAGTCTTCCAAAAGGTGTGTTTTTTCGTAACACCATTCCCCTCCAATTTTGCTGAATATAAAAGTAATATTTTACGTTTTTCTGAATCTTTTGGCATGCCATGGTCTTTAACAGGTTACTCGCAATAAATACAACATAACCAACCTTCTCTGTATACTGTCTGAATTTCTGTTTTTCGGCAGTTTCCCGCAAAACCCGGGTCAAAATGGAGGCAAGCTACATGCCACTCTCGCAAAGGCTCCTGGGACTAAAATAAAAAGTCATGCCGCCATGTAAGGTCCACCGAGCGTCCTTTACATGTCTTCCGCATTTCCCCGCACCGTTTAAATGCGAAAATGTAGCCTCTGCTCGAAGGGTACGCACCGTTATGCAAATGTCGTAGATTCATACAGGTTATAAGACACAAAATTAGTCTCTCCCTGACCCCCATGAATCCTTCTTAGCGGAGCTCTGCGCGCGGCGCTTCGCACCGCGCGTGGGCGGAGCCCCATGGCTAAGGAAATGTGGTAAGCTACCCATCCGAGAGAATTTGGTAATCACGTGACCGTACACCGAGCGAGCGAGCGACCGTCCGTCCGCCCCGCAGGCATACCAATGTAAAATAACTCAATCAACAAGTATGGCAACCCAAATGATAGCCTGCGAACAGCAGACGCATTTCCGGTCGTCACTTTGCTCCCTCCGAAATAGCGTCTGCGAACCCGAGCGGCAAAACGATTTCCGTGACGTAAAACCTTTTTAGCCAATCAAGGTTTAGCTCGTAAAATCAAGGAACTAATTCGCGAGACTTCTCGCAAGATCGTGTGCGGTGGATATGTTTACAAGTCGAAATTGAAAGGACGACGTAGCTTGTGTATAGCCGCCCTTTTTTCTCTGAACGACACGTTTACGAAAGTTAATTTGCCAGGATTGTGGGACTGATTGATGAAATAAGCATCAAGAGGATTCATACCGAAGAAAAGATTAGAGGACATTTTTTCTCTATCTGCCTACGGAGTCAATGATTTATCACAACTAGTTGTTTTGATCATATTTGAAACGATAAATTTCCTAGTGACAGTAGACTTATCATGCCGTTTGTTGCTTCTGCTCCTTTCTGGTTCCTGTCAGGAAAGTATGCTTTGGAGAACTCTTCGATAGTTTGTCGTGTGCCGCTTTAGATATTTTTTAGTAGATATCCTTAGTACGTGTGGTAATTAATTTCCCAGGCGTGGTTGCTTCTCGGTTCAGACAGAACTTTGATCAGATCGAGAGCAGTTTATATTTGTTCTTATATTTTTTTAAATTCATGTTCTTTTCAAGGTTTTAATTTCCATAGTTTTTTATAAGATGAGTCGAAGCGTCATGTAGCTGAAATGTCATCAATTT